ATGTTCAGAAACCAAAGTCCAGGAAGAAAGGATTGTTTGATTCAGATTCGGATGAAGAAGAAGTATTCCACGAGTTTTCAAAAGTTTTGCAAAAAATCAAAACAAGTGGTACACCAGAACAAGAAAAGCCTGTAATACCACAAGCATATGTCGCACCCAAGGCTACTCCAAGCGTACCTAAAGAGAATGTTTGTTTATGGGGAGAGAGCACGTTGAATTGATTATATTGCTCAGATATCTACAAGTCCCGAACACACTACACCAATTGATAGCCATTCAGATAATTTCATCGCTGTCGCAAAAGTATATATGGGAATTCAGAATTCACTTTCATAGCATTGTTTTCAGAGTCGTACTAAAGGTCCCTCTCGTAAACCACCTGCACGTACTATCAAAGTTGAGAAAGAGAAAGACACTCATAGAGCAGAAGAACAACCAAGTCAAACTAAAGAGCCTATAAAGTACCTGAAACAATTGTATCTTCAAGCACGCAAAGCATTTCAGTAAGCAGAATGAATTGGTTGATCAAGTGGCCGCACCAAAAAGTACAGGAAAATCTCAGCCTGTTAAAAGTATATTCGATTCGGAGAGTGATGATGATCTGTTCACATCTTCTTCATCCTCTGGAAAAAAGGAATCAACGACGCAGAAAGCTGTTGAAGGTAAGATAAACATAACGATTATATTGAGTGCAAATCGATTTAGAACCAGCACATAGCAAAACGAAAGATATGGCTCCAAGAAAACAAACAAGGCAAGCAGTAAAAAATATCTTTGAGTCAGATTCTGAAGATGATTTGGCGTTATTCAGGAAAAAGCATTAAGAATATTCCATTTTCTCTGCCCCCCATTACTCTTTTTCTCTCTCTCTCTCTTTGTCTCTTTCTCTCTCTCTATCTCTCTATCTCTATCTCTCTGTCTGTCTCTTTCACTTTCTCTTTCGAGTCAAATGTGATTATATGTGATACTGGTCTTTTAATTTTGAATGAAATTATAGAATGAATTTATTAAATTATACAGTATACATTCACATGCATACCCATATACACACATACACACGCACACACATACATACACATCCATGCACACTCTCATTTCATCATTTTTTCGTCATTCCATCATGTCGTGTACATTTCTATGATTTAACATGACAATCTGCATTGTTATATCATTTTATTACAACTGTGTGTGTGAATTGTTCAAACCGCTCTTGATGTAAAGTATATACATTTTGCATCTCTTTTAGTTTTTAATGCAAGGAAACAATAATGAATGTTTTTAATGTTGAAAATAAGGGGGAGGGATTGTGAATCGATGTATTGTTTGAGTAATGCCGTATGTATCACCAGGTGACCTAGGTCAGACAGTGCAAGCGATTGTCACGCGAACGCATATCATCGATCGGAAAAGCTGCGTCAGCATTCAAGTCGTGTTGTCAAAGCAATGGAGAATAGCTTTTTTTCAACAATGAATAGATCTACTACATCACAAATGTGAGTTGGCCTCTTTCATATTATATTTTTGTTTATTATTATAGAGCGAATAAGAAGATGAAAACTGAACGTAATGGCGGAAAAAACTTGAGATGTTTTCATCTTATATTCACTATACTGCTATGGGTAAGTACTGTGTGTGTGTGTATGTATGTGTATGTGTGCACAGTTGTCTGTCTTCAACCATCTTCTCACATTATTAATCATATTACAGACAAATGGTATTGCTGTTATATCCGTTGCACTTTGGCTTCTTCTTGATCCAAAACGTAACTATGTACTCGATTTTATTGATTTCTCCGATAATTTTCCTTATCTCGTAAGAAACATTAAACTTTTTTCATGCTTCCATTTGATTTTACAGAAAGCTGCGACGTATATAGCTTGTGGAACTGGTTTCTTATCGGTGTTATTGGGATTCGTGGGTTGTTTTGGAGCCATTGGTCGACGACGATGCTTATTAGTTGGCGTAGGGTTATCCCTCTTTATCAATCAAATGATACGTATTCATAGTTTCTGATTGGGATTGTTCTACTCCTTGTTTTGAATGTTGCTTTTGGAATCTTATCCATATATTATTGGAATCAGGTTGGATATATAACCATGGGGATACGCATATTAATAGCATATTTAGTTCGATTCGGAAACGATGAGACGACATATGGTAACCATGACGAGAAACAGATACGGAAGAGATGAATGGGTGCAGCCATTGATGGACAAAATACAATTTTATGTAATGACTCTATGAGCAAAATATTTTCGAATCCATTCTTCTATTATAGAATGAGTGCTGCGGAGGTGAAGGAGCCAAAGATTACCATTTTTCGTTTTGGTTTGTGACTAACAAGGAAAGAGGAACCATGTCCTATGTACCAATCTCATGTTGTAAGCAGACTATAACGGCTAGATACTGGCTTCTTGCTCCTATCGACCCTAACTGCGATCTGAGAGACCATTCTGATACATCCTTCAGCAGTACGGCATATAACGAGGTTAGTTTCTTGAAATAGTTCTCTCAACATCATTTATCAAGGGCTGCTCCGAAAAAGTTCTTGGACAAACCCGTAAAACCTGTTTGATTCTGTTGGCTTTGAGTGCTGAAGGAGGACTATTGATGGTAACAGTTTTGATGTTTGAAAGCTTCATATTAATCATTTTCAAGGTTTTCATGCTATTTCTGACTCTTTGTTTCCTGAACAAGATAGTCTATTACCGTACATTAGGAACAAGTTAAGAGCATAGACGGAATTGCCACGTTTAAGAACCATGTCGCTTAACCTAGCTTAGATAACAGTCTTCTCTCATTTTTTATATTTATTGTAGTAAATATCATGAATTGTGACTTACTTGGTTTCCAGTTAAGAATCACCTTCTCTTATGTAATTTGAAACGATAAATAGTTCTCAACAAAGATCCTTCTCTTCTTAATCATCTCTTTTCACCTATTCAATCATTATTTGATTCTAATCAATACGGACAACTTTTTCCTGTTCCCAAATCAATCATTCAGGATCTTCGAATGGATGGAGAATTTTTCACATTACAATCAGAAAACTCCCTTCTTCAATTGATAAGATGCGAAATTATTCCAATCACAAATGATGTTACGTTGATCAGCTTGCTGTACAAATCGTACAACATCGATTGTACTGGTGGTCTTGATATTAATAGAGACCTTGAGAAAAATTGTTTAAATACTTCCTCTTCATCCGAATCTGAATCAAACAATCCTTTCTTCCTGGACTTTGGTTTCTGAACATATCTGTGGGTTTGATGGATATTCTGAGTGAAACAA